GAATGTGTGTATTGGGGATATAGCAAGTGTGTGCATACAGGTTATAGTGTGTGTGTGTGTGTTTAGGGGTGTAGTATGTGTTTGCTTACAAGGAATCTAGTGTGTGTATAGGGGATCCAGAGTGTGTATGTTAAAGGACCACTATAGTGCCAGGAAAACATACTCGTTTTCCTGACACTATAGTGCCCCGAGGGTGCCCCCACCCTCAGGGACCCCCTCCCGCCCGGCTCTGGAAAGGGGTTAAACTTACCTTTTTTCCAGCGCCGGGCGGGGATCTCTCCTCCTCCGATCCGCCCCGTCGGCTGAATGCGCACGCGCGGCAAGAGCTGCGCGCGCATTCAGCCGTTCACATAGGAAAGCATTTATAATGCTTTCTTATGGACGCTTGCGTGCTCTCACTGTGATTTTCATAGTGAAAAGCACGCAAGCACCTCTAGTGGCTGTCAATGAGACAGCTGCTAGAGGCTTTGGGGGAAGGCTTAACCCATTGATAAACATAGCAGTTTCTCTGAAACTGCTATGTTTATAAAACAATGGGTTAACCCTAGAAGGACCTGGCACCAAGACCACTTCATTAAGCTGAAGTGGTCTGGGTGGCTAATGTGGTCCTTTAAGAGTGTAGTGTGTGTGTGTGTGTGTGTAGATATATATATATATATATATTTGGAAGTATTGTGTATGTGTGTGGTGCAGTGTGTTGGGGGAGTTCTGTGTGTATGTGAGAGGTGCGGTGTGTGAGAGTGCCGTGTGTGAGTGATGGGTGTGAGAGTGCTGTGTGTCGGTGATGGATGTGAGAGTGCTGTGTGAGAGTGCTGTGTGTCAGTGATGGATGTGAGAGTGCTGTGTGAGAGTGCTGTGTGTCAGTGATGGATGTGAGAGTGCTGTGTGAGAGTGTGCTGTGTGAGAGAGTGCTCTGAGAGTGCTGTGTGTGTGTGAGTGCTCTGTGAGAGTGCTGTGAGTATGATGGGTGTGAGAGTGCTGTGTGAGAGAGTGCTGTGTGTTATGGGTGTGAGAGTGCTGTGTGAGAGAGTGCTGTGTGTGATGGGTGTGAGAGAGTGCTGTATAAATGTTATTGTGTGTGTGTAGGGGGGGGGGTAAATAAAAAAACAGACACTATGTTCCCCCCCCCTCCCTTCTTACCTTTAGCCTGGGAGGGGGGGTCCGGCACGCTGGAAGGCAGGGTGGTGGGGTTCCCTGGTGGTCCTCGTGGGTGAGTGAACTCTAGCCCGTGAGGCTAGAGTTCACTCTCGCGAGATCCGGTCATTGCCATGGCAACGCGCCGGATCTCGCGAGAGGAACCCGGCGGAGCTGCAAATTAGAGCTCCGCCGAGTCCTCTCTCCAGGCTGGCTGGCTCCCTCCCTCTCCCCGCCGGCGGCCGCATGTGGGCCGGTGAGGGAGATCTTTGATCTCCCTACCGGCCCGTTGTGGCAAACAGCGGGGCCGGCGCTAGGAGAGTGCCGGCCCTGCAAAGACCGGCAGGGGAAATCCTGGGACCTCCCCTGCCGGCCTCGGCCCCACGGACACCGCGGCCCACCGGGCATTTGACCGGTGTGCCCGATGGCCAGTCCGGGCCTAACCACAACCACTTACACATCTGTAGGGCTCCCAGTGCCAGGACTGCCACCACAACCACTTCCACATCTATTGGGCTCCCAACGCCCGGACTGCCACCACAACCACTTACACATCTGCAGCGCTCCCAGGGCCAGGATTGCCACCACAACCACTTACACATCTGTAGGGCTCCCAGTGCCAGGATTGCCACCTAACCACTTACACATCTATAGGTCAATGGGCCAGTGGGTCAAAAATAAAAATATAAAGAACCATGGGCTTACTAAATCACTGTTCATAATTGCTCCAACTCTAAACTTCCTGGTCCTAAACCATTGTAACCTGAAAGGAACAAAAATTGACATATCTCCTGGCCCTTTCATTCCCTACTGCAATGAAAAATGCTGGAACTAGAATAAAAGTGAGTTCTGATGCTCAATAGATGCTCAATAGTGATAACTCATCATATCGATACCCACAGTGTACAAATAAGCATTGCTGAAATTAGGCCAATTAAAATAGTCAGCAGCACAGCACTGAGAACCAATGTAAGTACATACAATGGGTGATAACAAGAACATTGAAGAACCCAGTATGTAGATATCGGCCATTGTGTGTTGCTCATATAGTATCATCATGTAATTAATCGGTCATGGAAGATTTTTGACAATATTAGACACGGGAAATTTAAAAGAATTAGCAATTGTAAATACATATAAAAATCAACCATGTTTAGAAAAAGAAGATAAAGACATGTAATGAGTCAGATCACACAAATAATAATAATAATAATAATAACAGAAATGTAGGATTTCCATGTTTAAGCACAATGCAACTTACCTTCTGGCATTGATAGGCAGATTGAATTTTTTCTGATGCTGCCCAGGGTCTGCAAATCTCCTTAAACATTGATCAATCTGTAGTTGGCCTACTAATCAAACTTAATTATGCTAGTCTGGCACTATCATAATTAATGCTTACCAAAATTCAGTTTACATGCACTTGCATTACACCCTGGCACCATTTTTTGGCTCCTGTTAGTCCATTCCCTTTTTTTTTACCATTGGTCCTTCTAATGACCTTGCTATCTATTGTAATGCTGTCTTTGAGTAATTGAAGTAAGTGGCTAGTTGACTTTTTACACAGATTCACGGAATCCTCACTCTGGCTATTTCACAATGTTCTATGTGATACTAATATTGGCCTGTTTAAACTACATTAACCAGACATTGTGTTTTCACCTCTTTAGATGCTGACTTAACCCTGGCCATTAGAATTAATATTTTTCCTACCTGTAAGCTCATCTGAGCAGGGTCCTCATATACCTATTGTTCCTGTATCATTTTGTAATTTTCTCATTAATTGATAAATGTTCCAATTCCGTAAAATTGTAAAGCACTGCGGAATAAGTTGGCGCTATATAAATACCAGTATTAATGATAATTATACCTCTTTCTATCTCTGTCCAGCATTTGTATCTTTTCCACTAGCTTCTGGCCTGTACTCCACATGTAGAGTAACACATTCCTGACATTTAAATTATATAGTTGAATTGCCCTTTTGACAGATAAGAAGCATGTATATCTCCTGGCACAGAGTTTATACATTCCTTTACACTCCAGCCAATTCAAGGTCTCACATATTGTTCACTCTGCAAATGGTTGGATGAGATTAGTTCAACTGACTATACATTTAATGCCAAGTGTTATGGTGTTTTTGAAATGACTCAAACCTCAGAACAAGTTCATGTTTATGATCATTGCTATGCAGTATAACAGGGGCATAGCTAGGATTCACTAACCTCCAGTCTAAAAATAAAAAAAAGTGTCCATTTTATCATTCCCCCCCTAAGCAGTAAACTTAATGGCTGAGTGTGATTGTGATGGTTGGCTAAGGCGGTGTGTTAGGCATGTTTGGATTCTGCTGATTGTGGTTGTATGTAGGTACTGGCTTAATGTGACTGTGTGCTGAATTGGCTTTGTATCATTGTGTATGGAGTTGTCTAAGGGTGATTGTGTGTGGTGTTTGGCTGAGTATGATTAAGTAAGTGTGAAGGAGGCCGAGTGTGATTGTGTGTGGAGTTGCTCGAGTGTAAATATGTGTGAGGTTTCCTGAGTGTGATTGAATGTTGTGTTGGTTGAGTGTGATTGTGTGAAAATATAAGATTATTATTACTGTTCATGTTTTTCCTTTTTAATTTTATTTTCTTCATATGTTTCATGTCCTTAACAATAATTTGAAAGGATTAGATGTATTTTTAAAACGTATTTGATATAACCTCTCTTTAAAGTCCAACAGGATAATCCATTTATAGCCAGCTGTTTTGATGGCAGCATCATTTGAATAGCTGAACAGTGGAAACATTTCTTAAGAATATGTCAAGAATGACAAATTGAAGCTTACAAAAGGTTGATCCCGGAGGCAGACTGTCTATAATTGTGCGGATAGTTCCTGGAGAACTATGGATGGAGACTGGATCTTCCATCAATATGACATTCAAAAAGGAAACTATATTCAGGTGTAAGTTAACGGGACAATCAAAGCAACATTAGAACTACATGTTTTTATCGCGTTTATGGTGCTTTTAGGCTGTGGGCACTGTCCCCTGGTTTTGAGTTAAATAGTTTTTTAGGCAATTTGACAAAAACTTGGGTTCCCTGAAGCACCTATGGCCTGGCCACCCTGTTAGTAATAGTCTCTATTGTCTAATCTGTATGTGCTGTAGTACATATTGGGTTCTTTATAGACTCTATGATTATTTTGTGTTTCTTAAAGGAACACTATCGGGTCAGAAATACAAATGTGATCCACTATTTAGCTCCCCTTTGCTCCCCTTAAAGAAGTAGAAAACTTACCTTTATTCCAGTGCCGCAAGGCTGGTTCTGCCTCTAATCCACCTCCTTGGCTGAGATCATCAAAATTGATGATCTCAGCCAATCCAATGCTTGCCCTTAGGAAAGTATCAGGAGGCTATTACGCATGCGCAGCAAAATGACACGCTGGTCAATCAGCTTCTTTTCATAGAGATGCATTGACTCAATGCATCTCTATGGGGAAAGTTCAGCAGTGTTTACAGCGAAAAGCCTGGAGGGACTGACTATACTCACCAGAGCAACTACATTAAGCTCTTTGTTCAGGTGACTATAGTGTCCCTTTAGCTTTCGATCTCTCTTGCTATGCTGTCGGGAACACAGTTTAGTGAACGGACCCCAAGATGCAGATAGGTGCTGAAGGTAAAGAACCAAGTTTGCAGTACCAAAGGATTAGACTAAGAGATTAGTCGTGGAAGTCAAAGGTCAGGACAGGCGGCAGAGGTTCAGAAGCGATGATACAGGCAAGGGTCAAAATCAGGAACAGGATCAGGATACAACAGGAGAGTCTCTGAAGGTCTTTACACAAACAGGAACACAGTACAACTGAGCGAAGAGTGAAGAGTGTGTGCGAGTTAAATAGAGAAAGTGGGTGGTCTTGTTAATTGAGGTATCACCCTGGTTTCCCCCTCCTGTACCTTTAAAAGGCTCTTCGTCGGCACGCGCACGCCCTTTGATTTTCCTGAAGTTCTTCCTTCTGTGTGGTCGCATTTGGAAGCAGCAGCGTTCTCACAAACAGACTTTTGTTCTTGCTGTGTTCGGGAGCTGGCATCCTTACGAATGGAGTTATGTCTGCAGTATACGTGAGTAGCATTCACAAGAACAAAGGTGGTGTTCATATGCATGAAGTTCTTCCTTCTGTATCTGGTTAGTGGCGTTCGTGCGAACAGAGGTGCTGTTCGCATGAACGTGAGGGGTGATTGAACCGACCGCGCTGCCTGGGGGTTGCGCTCTGACATAGCGTCCTCGTGGAGAGAGTCAGAGCATGAGGTAGGTGAGTGAGGGGACAAGGACCTGATAATGCAGCCATTTTCCTCATAGAGATCTTTATATGTGTGTCCTGCCCTGACATCTACATGCTGCTTCTGTGCTAATACTACTCTGCTCAATTTCAACACTCTTCAACTAATAAGGTTGTTTTTTAAGATTCTGTACAGATTTTTAAACTATACCTACATTTTTTCAGTTTGCTTTTCTAAAAAAAAAAAAGATAATATATATTTTCATTCTTAATAGGTAGAGTAACTTGTCATCCAAACAACTGCCAGTTTGAAGTGCTAAAGGATTTTTTTATGGCAAAATTGGTAATCACTTTAAATCTGGTTATAATCCTTCGTTTGGACCAACAGCAATAATAACATAGATATGTGAAAGTCTGAATTTAATGAACACGGATCTTTTTTTAGCCTAGATTACCATAGAACTGTATGTTCATTCTGTGCAGTCGATAAATGCTTTCCGCTATTCCATTTTGGGACTCTATCAAGCTATCCCTTGTCTAGAAGTCCAATAATGTTTTTGCACTATTTGCCTCTATGTCTCTCTGTTTTAATGCATATGAAAATATTTAGCGCATAGTTTTTTACTTCACCTAGCTTTCTATTTAACACTCCATTTTGACTACAGGCTTTGTTTTATCTGATTTTATTAAAGCACCTATTTTCCCACAATGGATTGTCTATTTTTAACACACACATTTTATAATGATCTACATAAACACATGCTGCTGTTCCTTGTGAAAAAAAAAAAGGATTTACTTTTTCTCTCATATAGGTCACAAAGCCACAGTTAGTTTGTAGAACCAGGATTCTCCTGTCACAATCTATAAAACTTACAAAAGTTCATGGTGAGCTTTTGATTTTCTATCTTACATATTTTACATCTAACCTTTAGTAAAGTTTGAGAAAATATTTTAGCTTATATGTGTGTTAAACCGCTGGTAAAAATAATGTATATGTAGTTGTAAGCAAAAGTTTGGTCACACACAACTAAATAACATATTGTGTTGATAAATTTGACAAATAAACAGTAACTGTTCATTAAAATATGTACATCATTCGCCCAAATGGGCATTCCCCAAGAGTTCTTAACCAGCATCCTAGCCCTGTACCAAGAACCTTCGGCTAAAATCTTTAGCACAGGCTTCCTATCGACTCCATTAGCCATACGAAATGGCACACGACAGGGCTGCCCCCTTTCCCCGCTCATCTTTATCCTTTGCCTAGAGCATATAAAACAAACAAAAGGAATTCAGGGCATATCTACTCCGAAGGGCGAACAGAAACTGACATTGTTTGCCGACGATATTCTCCTGTACCTCACAAAACCAGAGCACTCTATCCCACAGCTGCAAAAGCTCCTTGCCACATACAGCGAAGTATCCTTCTACAAAATCAACACTGCAAAAACACAAGCTCTCCCTATTCTACTACCACACACCTTCACGACACAACTCGAGTGCACATATACATTCAACTGGAGGAAAAAGTCGCTCTCATACTTAGGGATGAAACTTACTAAATCAATAAACACACTGCAAAAAGAAAACCATATTCCTCTGATTCAGAAACTCACAACACAATTAACATCATGGGAAGACCTAGAGGTTTCCTGGTTAGGCCGTATCAACTCGATTAAGATGATGATTCTCCCGCACATACTTTACCTGTTCAGAACCATCCCCATAACCTTGCCAGCCCGCCTCCTTAATAGGCTCCAATCTGTTATAAACGCGCACGTCTGGAAATGGAAACCCCCGCGAATTAAAAACAAGACTTTATGCCTCCACTTCACTAGAGGAGGTCTGAGTCTCCCCGATGTTTGGCTCTACTACCAGACCTCCTTATTAACTCAAGATCTAAGACTACTCAGAGCTTCAGAGAAAGCACCAACCCCAATCTGGCTCTCCTTTGAAGACACCTGCATCCACCCAGCACAAATAACCCAAGCTCTGTGGGTGGGCGCCCCGACCCTCATTAAAAAAACAATCCTACAATGCACTTCTACAGGCCTGGAGAAACTGGGCCTCGAATATATTAGACCCAAAGGAACTGCTAAGGCTGTCTCCAATCACAGCACTACAGACCCACTCCCCGAATCTAGAAGTCCATAAGTGGCTGGCAAAAGGTATCCTGAGGGTAGAAAATCTTTTTGACAAGAGTGTAGTAAAACCATTCCCAGCTTTACAGGCAGAATTCTCCCTCCCCTCCCGAGACCTATTCCTATACCTAAGGGTCAAGAACATCTTACAGGCCAATACACAAGCCAACGAGACCACTCAATGGCTTATAGTTCACAGCCCACAACACCTGTTGAACGCCCGCCACATCAAGCCCCTGGCACTGTGCTACAATGCCCTGTGGGAAGCTGCTAACCCACACAAACTCCAATACATGACACAATGGGAGAGGGATATCAGCAGGGAAATCACGGCACAACAATGGCACAAGGCCATATCCATCACCAAGAAGGCATCTAGCAGCATCTCTATGTGGGAGGCATATAGCAAAATCACAATGAGATGGTACATGGTGCCTCATAGACTGGCCAAAATGTATAGTACAGTCTCCCCTCTATGCTGGAGGTGCGAGAAAGCCCAAGGTACACTGTTACAAATCTTCTGGGAATGCCAAGACATTCAACCACTATGGTTAAGCGTACAAACGCTAGTAAACAAGTTTACCCTGCGCTGTCACCTGAAGGATACTTACTACAAATGTTGCCAACGCTGCACCAGAAGGACCATACCCCATTGATAGTAAACCTTCAATAGAAGAGATCTCAAAGAAATTAGATAATGTCTGTCTATATGAAAACATGGCTATGAGTATGAAGGGGAAAGCACAACAACATGAGGTGGTATGGCAGGACTGGCTCACGCATCGAGGGGCGGGCACTGCATAGCAGGCCAGGTCCGATAATAAAAACACAACCACAAAACCGAGCTGAGCGTACCCAATGAAGTTCCCTTTGCACTCATTACTGATCCCAGATCAAGATCAAGATCAAGTTCAAGCACAAGTTTATGTTGAGATGAGTTTACTTCCTTCCCCAGGTTTCCCCATATTCCACACACGCTGACCTATGAGGGACAAGCGATAGATATTCCATGAGTCAAACATACGTGGGCACCAGGACATAGCTATTGAGTAGAATTAACCCCAGGAGGTGATCCTGCACATATAATATATTGTAATATAGCGAAATCTGAAGATGTGTAATGACACGAACATATGCACTAAATTTAGCATGCGTAAAAGCAAGACCTGCAACGTGCGCTGTCCCAATTGATAGATGTTGTTAACGCAAACTACCATGTAATGTATATTGCTACTGTATGCATATCATATTGTGGAACCCCCTTTTCCTTCTCCCTCTTTTCTTTCTGTTTCCCTTTTCTTACAAAAAAACAATAAACACAAATATGATAAAAAAAATATGTACATCATTTATTTTGAACACAGAATGAATGCCCATATAGAGTAGACAGGGGCTACAGTGGTTCTGCTGGAGTATACCATTAAAGAGACGCTATAGACACTGTGGCAAAAGTAACCTCGCCACTGGTTTCTGGAGGATCCTGTTTGCCAGCCTCCTACCCTGTGACTATGGCCACTGTGATAAAACTTGGTTAAAACCACTGTTAGTGCCTTTTGGACTTGTATGGCTACACTTCAAACTCTTGAAGCGGTTCGAAGCAGCACTTCGAACTCCCGAACAACCGCACAAGCCAGAGACCACCCTGGAGCTTGTTAACACCTATTAACAACTTGGAACATTTCTCACCGCAGGGTTCTAATTGTTCGTCTGGGTGGCCGCAATTCCTATGGACAACCACGAGGTGGCAGCCATCTTGTTTGCATGAACGCAGGCAGTGGTGTTTGGGCATGAATCTCATGGAACTAAAATCGGACACAGAAACTCCCGAACACCGCTGGACTGTGTTCGGTTCTATACAACTTAGAAGGGCACTGTTTGGTGATATCATTCGTCTGGATGAGGGGAACAAGCTCCAGGGTAAGACTATTGACTATGTTCGGTAGTTTGTTTGTTTTCAAACTACTGAACTAGACCAACCACAAGCCCTGATTCTCTGGAATTGTTTTGGGCATGGGACCATGCCTGCGGTCGGTCAAATAAATGACTTCCATAGAATTTCTGAACCCCTGAACTGGTCTGGGTGAATTTTTGATATGTTGGTCACACAGATCAGGGCTATCAAGGGATGTAACATTTGTGGAGATCCTGTGGTTTTGGGGTGCTTTTGGGGTTTTATAAAAATATGTGTTTTTATGCCTGGAGATAATTGAGGTTATGACTCAATTATCTCCCAGGCAGAGAGAAGGGATTGTATGTTTGTATATGGGAGTGTCATGCAATGTAAGTCTGTTATTATTGGTCTGTGACTTTGTACCATAGTTCCCCACAAGGTCCATGTGGGAGTGCCCCTTGCATGGGGATTGTCATAAAAGGCCAAGTGTGGCACCATTAAAATCAGTTCTCTTCACCCTCAACAATCAGCCTCATCTCTTGATTTTAGCCATACACAGCTATACCTGCTAGACTCTCTGGAGTAGGAGAGGTCCACCCACTGGAAGCTGGATCCTGGACTTGGGTCAAAGGTGGGAGGAGGACAGCAAGACCCCAGTCAAGCTATGGCGGCTAAGGGGCTACGGTGCTTATGGTGTCCAGTGCGGTGCTTATAGTACTCAAGGCGACTAGGAAGCAGCAATTGGCAGTGGCACCCAGTCAGGGTGGTCTGTCACAGTCACCAAAACATGTTTAGCTTAATGTAGCAGTTTTGATGTATAGATCATGCCCCTGCTGTCTCACTGCTCAATTCTCTGCCATTTAGGAGTTAAATCACTTTGGTTATACAGCCCTAGTCACACCTCCCTGCATGTGACTTACACAGCCTTCCTAAATACTTCCTGTAAAGAGTTATCTAAAGTTTAAACTT